AAAAAAAAAAAAAAAATCAGACAATATTAATAAGAACAATAATAATTATTACCTAAGCAGTAGTTAAATATCCTGCACGAATGATGAAGAAGAGGGTCAAAGAGAGGAGACCCAAGCGACGAAGGCAATTCACTGAGGAGGAAATGCGTTCCCCAGAAGTGCTTTAGGGCCCCCACAATGCTTAGTTGTGTTTTACGAGGAACTCGTGAGACACTGTTATTTAGCATCTCCACAACACGTTCACTGTATTTTTCTGCAATGAGAGAAAAAGGAAAAATATATTAGAATAAAAGTACGAAAGAAAATGTTCTCTACGAGCAATGCATTACTTGTTGGTTAGACACTGAACTTTTCGATTACCTGAAGGCCAAAATATTAATGGAAATGTTCTGCAAAATGAAAGTAGAATTTGTTGGTTAGATAAAAATGCTGTACTAATTAGATGGTGATTGTTTCAATTTTTTGGGGTGGGCAATTCATGGTGAAAAAATATGTCAAATATACATATATATATTTTTTTTTTCATGGCAGGATCATCCCTCCCTCTAACACTGATTTGATGATACTGATTGTGTAATGCTTTGTCAAATTCCATCATCAACATGAAGGCAGAAGATAGCTACTAAGAAAAGAAAAGAAAAGAAAGAAAAAGAAAAAAAAAATCATTAATATAAAAAATTATCCTTATAAACCTATGTGTCTATGGGTAAGGGCATGAGTATGCCAAATTACTATGTAGAGATACTTGCTTTAACTTCTCAGGACCATAACTTCTATGGACGTATCCTTGTCCACTCCCCATACCCTAATTTTGTCTGTAGCAGTCTCTCATGGCTGCCAGCTATACAAGAACAGCTCACACTTTACCGTTTTTAGCCTGACATGCTTTTCATGCATACATTTTAAGGATATGTCAGAACGTCCACAGACATCCCCCAAGCATCTGTTACCCACATATAAACAGACTTGCCCTAACCACATGAGATAAGATGAACTAAGTCCAGAGTTTAATGATTAATGTAGTACCTTGCGTCTCTTTCTCTGCTGGCCAGGCTCTACCTAAGGAATGCACCATTTCATCTATGAGGTCCCAATGCAGCGACTCTTCCTTTTTGTTCCTTTCTTCCTCTTCACCATCCTCGTGGTCTTCTTTATCCTTCTGGAAAAAGAACATACTATTAATGCAGACACCAAAATAATAATAATAGTATTAACAATAGTAAAAATATACAATAATAATGATGATGATGATAATGATAATAATAATAATAATAATAATAATGATAATAAACATACAAAATAAAAATTAACTACAAACTTAAACTTTCTAGTTTCAATCATGTACAACTTAATTCTTTGTTGTTGTTTTTCCAAAAGTTTACCACAATTATGAATGTACTTGGTATTTATCAATTTCAAATACTCATATTTACCCGGTAATGTACATAATGTATATTTGTTGCATATACTCACTTGTCTCAAGTATGGCAGGCAGATGTCAAAAACTTCTTCAAATCTATCAATTTGGTAAGTATCCAGAACAGTGGTAAGGGCTTTAATAGCATGGATTTTGTATTCCATCCTCTCTTTACTTGCTTCTCTTGTCAGCACTTTCACCACTTCTTCCACCAAAAGTTCATCTCTATCTGGATGCTTCAAGGTATTTAGGTGAGACTTGGTATGTACAGAAACATTTGAGAGAGCTGTCACAAGAGATTCTTTTCCATTCCATGTTCTACCTTGCAAGCTGTTGACAAGAAGTGTAACTAAAGAGAGGACTAAAGCATCGTTTAAGCTTGATCCAAGTTTTTCTGAGACAGTTGAGAGGGCTCTGCCAGCCTGAGCTTTCATAGCCCAAGTAGAACTTTGTAAAGCTTGTTCACATATTGCAATGATTTCTGTTAGATATAGCCTCACTCCTGACTCTGTGCCTGGAGTATTGTCGGACCAAATTTCCTCCCAAATCTCAGCACCATTAGAATCACCTTCTAGTGTTTTCTCTGCATGCATGGCAAAGAATGCGAGAGGCATAGCCTGACATGCATGCTGCTTCATGATGTCATTATTCTGGGCATGCATGCTGCGCATTGTAAGGGCACCACTCATTCTAACACTATCTTCCTCTTTCTCCAAATACCAGGTCTGGAGTTTGGTGAGAAGCTTTTCTACACTTGATGCTTTAGCAGTCTTCACAAGGTTACCAATAGCATTAGCATATACCTTTCTGACTACAGCATTTCTATCACTAAGGCCATTTACTAGAGCAGCCAAAAGTTTTCCTGTATATTTCTCCAATGGACGAGGACAAGTGTGAGTAAGAGTCTCTACAACATGTGCCGCTCCTGCACGGCTGGCAAGACCAACAGAGCTCTTCAGGACATCTATCAAACCACTCACTAATTTTTCCATGGACTCCTCATCAACAAATTGCAGTACATAATTCAAAGTATCCATCATGGGAGTACTTCGGGCTGCAGATACTCTAGCCATATCTAGCTTCTCTCTGTCTTCATCATTCAGTCTCACTGATGTGTAACTTAGAGCCTGAGATTCTAATCCAGACAAAGCCTCCAACAATGCAGGGACAAGGGTACCAAGGTGTGGCTTTACTAAAGAACCACCTGATCGACACAGTTTGGAAACCGTTTGCAAGCTGACACTCCTAACTTCTGCAACAGAACTTGTAATGCCAGAAGTCAAGAGAGTGGGAAGAACTTCCTTAAGCATTTTCTGGCTCTCTTCACCAGTGCCCTCACACACCTGCAAAGAGAAGTAGCAGTGAATAACATAACCAAAATTATTTGATTTAAAACTTTTTTATTCATTTATAACAGTAACAAAAAATTGTTACAGTCCTCTTAGATCTGAAAATTTCACAATCCTTGACTCAACTTAATACTTTCAGTTTTCTTTAACAAATAATTTAGTGCTAACTTTGCCAACGACAAGATTCTTTGCTCTAGAACCCAAATGAGCATTTCTTTTTTTTACACCTATCTCATGAATGTGACTGCAGCAAGAAAGAGGATAGAAAGAAAGAATGAAAAAACATGAAGCAAGAGAAAATTACCTTTATGCAGCTTTTACTCAATATCTGCAAAGTTTTCTCAGCAGCCGCTCTGACAGATTCCTTTATGTCATCACGAACGCGAAACAAAGTGGTCCATATTTCATTGATTCGGTGGAGGGCATTGACAGCTGACTGCCTTCGAAATAGGTCGGAGAGTGCGTGACAAGACGATTCTCTGACTCTCCATGTACTGTGTGTCAGATTGTTGATCAAATCACAGAGGATGGGGTCAAAATATTTCTCGATCTGTAAAGAAAAAAGAAAAATGTAAAGTATTAATATACAAAATATTATACATAGTCATAACAATATTGAAAAAAAATTGAACATGTTGAAACAAACTGCTTCAATGAGAAGTTAGTTCATAGTGAATGGTTAGAAATTCATCTCATTAAGAGGAACATTCTCAAATATCTTTTAATGTTGCTCCTGAACTTATGAAAAAAAAAAAAAAAAAAAAAAAAAAAAAAAAAAAAAAAAAAAAGTATATATGTCTATCAATCTATCTATCTATTTACATGCAGTTTACATCTCCCTTAATAATTAGATCTTCTTAAATACATATGATGATGGATAAGTAATAAAACACTACTCCCTTTACTATAAAATTTCATTACAGAAATTCTCATTTGAGAATATATTTTATCTCAAATTATCAAAATCTGGACCAATTCTCTAGACTCAAACATCTAAAACTACTAAATAAATATCCAATTTTAAAAAAATCAAGTTTTTCTTTATCTATTGTCTACCTAAAATGATTTCTTAAGCTGAAAACTTTAGATTTATTTCATATAATAAGTTTGGTTATTTCAAAGCTGTTACACAGTTTGCTTTGCATTCATGAATATCATATCTTTTATTATAGAGTGAAAAAAATACTCTATAAATACTGATAAGGAGATTCATGTTGCTTTCACATATACAAATCAAAGCTTTTATCTGCGTATCCTGAATGTTCCAGTCTCAATGAAATAACATGGTCTGAACAGGTATCAGTAAACCAACCTTTTTCTTGAAACAAACTGAGCATGATGCTTCAGAGGCATAATATAAATGCCAAGTAGATATTTTTAGCCATACACCTAAAAAAAAGACAAAAGCAACTCACTGTCTTTGCAGTATCAGTAACCAGAGCATTCCAAATGGCTGCCATAGGTTGCTGTATCTTTGGTGTAGGATCATGTTGATATCTATAGAGCTTTGGAATAATCTGTGGCAGGTAGGGTTCCAGTTGTGTTCCAGCCTGGGATGCCAGGGTGCTAAAACCAAAAGCTGCCCCCTGAAATAAACAATAAATAAATCAGGAGAGAATATAAATCTGAAAAATAGTAAAGTAAGTCTATGTAGCCATATATGTCTTCCCTTAAAATAGTCTTTAATAATAAGGTATCACAATAAAAGTTTATGTAATCTTAATTATAAACTTTTACTTAAGGCCATAGCTTTAATTGTGCTCTGTCTTGTTACACAAAAAAACATAAATCCAAATACCAGATTTATTTGCCTGATTACCTTCTTTGAATTCCAAACTGAGTTGTGGTTGGCAAGGTTCATGAACTTATAAATAAGGTCTGGCTGGTTCAAATCCGTTGCTAAGGAGCAAAGTTCTCGGTAGGTTGACAGCTGTCCACTATAATGATGAAGGAAAAAATGTGTCTCACTTCAGAATAAAAAAAGGTTTCTTAAATAAAAGAAAAAAAAAAAAAAGAAAAAAAATCTATTCACATTCATCTTCAGTGTAAAAAAAAACATTCCAACTCCAGAATATACTATAATTCTGCTCACTGCATTTTTGAGTTTACACCAAATGTTATCCTGAAACTAGTTTAAGTTAATAAATTGATAAAATAATAAACAGACAATCTAAGAAGATCTAAAACAAAAATCTATACTCGATACATTATGATATAAATTCTTCTTAAATCCTCCTTGGAAACTTACCCTGAAGGAGCACGTCCCAGTTCTCCATCCTGGAATATCTTTGTATCGTGAGTCACATTTTGGATGGTGCGTTTCCCTTCAGTCAGAGTCTGTACAAGACCCTGCACCATTGATTGTCTTGTGGCTTCAGAACAACACTCATATACAACACCTAAACCTTTAGAGGCTGCATCTTGCACCAAATCTGACAATGACAGAAAAGTAATAAATATGTATAAATATGATTATCTTTATGTCACACACTATTTTAGTGCCAAAGCTGAATAATTTGAAAAGCACTTTTACAATACTTTAAAGAACATGAATCTTTATCAATACCATACCATTGTTATCTCCAAGAAGATTCATGAAGGCAGACTGAATCCTAATCAGCCTTTTCTGAATGATGGGTTTAGTTCTACATTTCTTGAGCAGGGCAAGTAGCCAAATACAGGATGCCTGGAACATTGAATAACTATTGTCATTATGTCACTATCAAGTCCATCATACATCGCAAATACATAAATTGTTAATCTATTTCATTATGATGATAATGATAATGTCATACCTGTCTGACACTGGGCTGTGTTTGTGATACATATTTGTCAAGAAGTTCACCAAGGAGCCAAGTAAGTGTATCATTGTCTGAATCTTGATCTGGTGACATATCTACTGTGGCATCACTGGATTCTGTAGTGTCCATGGCTTCTGCCTCCTCTACTGGTTCTGAATAAAGCAGAAATTAATATATCCATAGATTATTCTAAAATTATTGTGTATGAATTTTCGACTGTTTTCTATGGTTCATTTACATATATAGATTACTCCACATTCATGAAAACTCTTAAACATGAACAAGAGAATAATTGACATATGCTTTTCACATTGCAAGGGAAACAGAACTCACTCTCTGCCATTTTCACGTAATCTTTCTCCATGGCCTCATCTGTGTCTTTCTCTTTCTCATCTCTACTACCCTGTTAAAGAAAATTTAGTCATTAATAAACTGATGATTAAGGGATCTTCAGTCATGTCATAAACAACTGAAAATTATAAAAAATAAAAATGCAGTGAAAAAAGCATGCAGACAAATCAAAAGCACTGATTAATGAAAAAAAATATTCTTGTTTGTTCACCATGGACAAAGGACCTTTTCTCTGTAAACATTTTGGTCTTGAGTATCTACTTACCTCTTCCATGTTTTCTTCTTCTGACTCTACTGCTTTCTGCTCCTTCAGAGGATCCTGCTCTGTCCACATATTCCTTCCAGATGGTGATGTAACTCCTAGGGCACAGTCAGCGAGTGCCTCGCCCACAGCAAAATGAATTTCAATTTCATTTGTCTGTAAAATTGACAAGCATAAATCTAATATGCTCTATGGTATTATCTATAAATCAATGAGAATGATTAAAGAGTGGAAAGTGATTTACTTGAAAGGTTGTCATCTTTTCTTATCACGATATCTCAGCTCTATCTTTGTTGGAGAGACTATAGGTAACTGCACTTCTGTCACAAACATGCATATATGTTTTGCCTCATGAAAATATTTAGTAATGCTTATGAAATACCAAGAATATAAATATTTGCCATTTACTGATATATGTGGTTGGATAAGTGTAGACAAAGTTGTGGCTAGTGGATGAGCCTGTCTGTGAGGAGTTAAAAAAACCTTAGATGGCATATATACAAAGTTAATAATAAATCCTGAAACAAAACCTAGAAAGTGCCATCAAAACTGAAACTTAACTATGTAAAAATGATCTTCCTTTACACAGAATCACAAACAGAATCTAGGTATTTTAAAAATGATGATGATACTAATAGGTTTTATGTCTTCACTCCCTCAGTTGTATGAATTAGGATAGTTCCTTCTTTTAAATGACTTTTATGGTGCAGGTTCTTTTAATTGCTGCACTCAGCTATCATGGCATACTTGATGTCTATGTTTTTGGTTTGAACCTTGCTGTCAAAATTATCCTATATGACTTGTCTAGTTACAACTACATTCTTCAAGGCATACTAAACAGTATGGAAAGTTGGCCAAAAACTAATTCTTCATACTTCTGTAAATACAGCCCTGAACAATGGGGATGTACAGCAAACTACAACTGAAATCACTAAATTAAAAATTGTGCGATCCCAGGTGCACTAGGCAATCAATCTTACCTCTTTGGCAAGTGCCAGAAGGGCTTCCAGAATTTTCTTCTTATGGGGAAAATTCTCTTGACCAACACAAATGTAACCACAAGTGGCAACTGACTGTTCCCTTATCTTAAAGAAAAAAGAAATACATGAGACAAATAACAATTTTAAAAGTTTTTTTTCTTGTTTCAACCAAATGAACAGTATTACATCCACATGGTTCTAACTAAAATGCCTCTAAAACTACAAATACAAACCTTTGAGGGTATCTTCTTGTTCCCAAAGATTGTAACAAGTGCTTTGATCAAGGCAAGAGATGTTACTGTTTTAGGTTCATCCTCTTCTGAGCCAGCCGGAAGGGGTAAGGGACCCTGCCTTGCCAATTCCCCAAGTGCCAATACAATTGCATTTTGCAGTGGGTTGTTTTCACTTAACAGCTGCTTCACTGTAGCAGAACATGATATAAATATCAGAAAGCAACATAATGGATACTATATGGAGATGGAATGTCTATGCAGCAGTCATTATCAATACATAAACCTAATAAAAATAAAAAAAACACCTCTAAGAAAGCAGCTTCTCAGTTGCTTACCCAAGTCATGGACAATCGACTCATATGCAGGCCAGTCCTCCAACACAATATCTGCTTTCTTCATGATGTTTAAGTTGTTTGCATAGCTATGTCCCACAGCTAAAACACAGCTCTCCTGGCTATCAACACGCTGTATGAAATGTAAAAGTCAAACTGCATTACAAGGAAGAAAATCTTGTAATAAAACAGTTGGACAGTTTCTTCTGATATTCCTGGATAACGCGACGTCATTTAGAAAAATAACATATATTGTGGAAATCATTTCATAATCTGCCTTAGTCTGTTAAGAATTAGTCTTATGACAGTCATAAAAAAAAGCAGAAACGTGTTTTCTAATATGACTAATACAAATCAGAACCACTGTCTAATACTCTCAGAATCACAAGGAAATACAATAAAAACACAGGTTCTAAGTCTCACCAAATTTTTCATATTAGATACTGGGTAAACAATCTTCTCAAATTCCTGCTGATCTTGAACTTGTCCTGCAACAACACCAAACAAATGGGCCGCAACTTCACCATAGTGTCCTCCACGCAAGATAAATTTCTGAAAATAGACAATGAGACATTTACAAATGCAAAACCTGTGGTCAAGTATAATGTCCCAACATTTTGTAAGTAACTTATGAAGTTTCCATCACTAAACATTGGTTACTTGCTGAAAATTCTTATGAATGTCCCGACAAGAAGAAAGCCATTAAAATTTTTGGAATCTATTTTCTCTCTTGTAAGCAATGCTTACAATTTGAAAAGAACTAACATGTAAAAATAAATATGTTTCAGAGACCTTAAAGTTTCCTGAATATCTGAATATTTCTGAAGATTGGAATAGCCAAGAAGAATAAATAAAGAAAAAAAAAAGTTGTAATATTCTACAAACTTACAAATCAAAACATGGAAGCCTAATCATAAACTAACCCTGATCCAGTCTAATTTGCGAGAGTAGTGCGACGAGAAATGATGTGGTGCAACAGCAACAACTTTCAGAATAGATTCCAAGGCTGCTGGTGACCAAGCATTGGCTGCAAGCTCCGCAAAACCAATATATCTCATGAAGGGATTAGGTCCTGGAATAATAAAAAGCAGATTATTGAAAAACTTTTAAAAAATTATAAAAAAGAAAAGGGACAAGATAACAGTAGTAATAAAAATGGTAATATACCAATACTCAAAACAAATCACATTTAAAACCAATTTATATAGAATATTTCACATTCTTGAAAATTTAAACCTTTAAGTACTTTTTATAATAATAACTCATATATATAGTATATAAAGAAAATGTCAAATATGAACTTCACTCACAATGAACACAACACAATTTTCTTGACTGACCTTTTTCAATGCGACCAGTTGCAATTTTCTGATTATGTAAATCAATTATCTTCTGCAAAAGTTTCCCTACAGCTGGAGGATCTGGCCAGAACAGGCCTTCTCCACGACCAGTCTCAGTACCAGCTTCAACAGCTAAGCAGTGTTCTAGGTAGTTCAACATCTGTAACAATTTATATCATTAACCTGTTAGCTTGTTCTGCTATAACTCCTAGTCTTTTAGCACCAAATATATCATTCATACATATAATAATAACAATATTAAAAAGGCATCTGATAATTTCAGCACTATAGAAATAGATATATTAAAAGGAATAGAGAAAAGTAATCACTTTTGATTGCCATTTGAAAGGAGAAACAAGGCATACACACATCTTTTGAAATTGCAAGTTACATAAACACAGGAGAAATAGCTACCTGCTCCATGATTGGTAAAGAAAATGGAACTGGCTGATTTGCTACATCCATCCACTTGCTCCTTGGCAGAGCATCGACACGCTCCAGTACATAGCTGATAACGTAAGTAAAAGGTGGAACTTGATATGTAGGAGTCCCATCCTTAGACTGCTGCAATGGTTTGTACAGCTGTCGGCGGGCTTCTAACCGTATATCATCATGGCTGAAAGAATACCAAAAATTAAGCATTTCAAAGGTTATAATGTATTCTTAATCACTTTACAAAAATACCAATGAAAATACATTTATATAAATCTTTTACTAACCTATCTCCTGTGGCCACCATAAGAATGAATCTTGATGGAACGTGATCGTGGGGGAACACCGAAGCTGCATAGTGAACTGCTGTGCGTCTCAACTGTGCATTGTGGTGCAGGACATGTTCTGACAGCAGGATACACAGCTGATCCTGACTTGATGTATTCAGCTGTTTGCATACAGGAGCTACCATAGAAAGAGCCTCCTGAACTGCTAATAATACATCCCCTTCCTCTTGGGTAAGTGCATTCATCAGAGTCTGCAGATAATGCAGTTGTGATGGGTGAGATAGAAGGAGACTGGGAAGCTTTACTGAAAGTTTCGCCAAGGCTCCATATGCTAATGATCTCAGCTTAGGGTCAGACTTTTCTTCTTCAATGACCTTGACAACTCCGCCAAACAAGACACTTCCCACTGGAGCCAACTTTTCTTGGTCAGCATTGAATGCCATGTGATGCAAGAAGCTTACTCCTTGTTGCTTAAGCTTTACATTTGAATTCTGGCCCCAAAGACATTCAAAAAATACTTTCAAAGCAAGAGGAGCATAGTTGCAAGCCTCCTTTGATTTTAAAAAGTATGGCATAAGTTTTAAACGAATTCTGGTATTTGCTGGGTTCTTAAATTTGTCTGCCGGTGTGCGATCCTTTGGCATTAAGGTACCAAGAAACAATACATAGAGAGGTGCAATGACTGCACTGCTGTTCCACTCAACACTGCTTTCTATTCTTCTCAGTTGCAGATCAGCAGCATTTGCCACTGAAAATCTAGTATCTGCAGCACCAACAATCAGCTGAAGAACAACAGATGATGGAAGTAATACATCTGAACTTAAGAACTTTATAATAGAGACCTTCAGCTTCTCCAGATCTTCAGCCTTTGGAGGCGTCTCTCCCATAACACGTTTAAAACTATTGATACTCATACCAGCTGGTACTCCTGGCACAGGGGGGCCTTCTGAGTTATCTTGTGGAGTGTCAGATGGTCTTTGTTGTGATAATGGAGTAACTCTGAAAAAATAAATGTTGTGTTAGTGCTCTGTCATACAGGTGAGCTATTCCCTTGCTCTTATAAGAATCAGAATAGATTAGCAGAGTAATGGTGCAATCAGTAACAATGGGTGTCTTTTACAAGTATGTATTATTGTACTTACTGTCTGTTATATTGTATTCATACGACTCTTCCTAATGTGGCATACTGACAGTTCAGATATAACTGGAATGACTCTACTGTATAATAAAAAAATGAAGCTTACCCATATGGCAGAAGCAGAACGTCCAACATGAAATCCAAAAGCAGCTTCGTTATTCCTGGTCGTTCTCGCAAGCCAAGTAATGAAGCTGTCTTTTCGGCTGAATCAGGGATTTTCATGTGACCAAATACTGGTACCATCAGAAGTAAAAGGCTGGAAAAAATCTCATGTTAATATCTTATCCCTTAATTGCAGAAAAAAAGAGTCTTTATCACCATTACATTACTTTTCTACACAACTAGTCAAATCATGAAATCTATTTTCAATACATTCCTAAATGATTCTATACAGACATAATGCTGCCTTCCCCTATCAACTTTCCTATCTTACTTATATCATGATATGTAACTGGTATCCCATGAAAACTGCTTATACCATGTGACACTTTACATTGCAACATATACATTAAAGATAGAATACAAATAATTTGAACCAACTATGATAACAGTCTATGCATCTGAAAAAAATGAATAACATAAAAAAACTTAAATAACAAACTACATACAAACAAAATAAGCTACTAAACTTTGTATCCTATAAACTGGCACGGCTCAACTTTTGAGGACATCATTCTAATGAAATCTGATATCTGATTCCCTATTAATAGCTTGCAAAATATTGTCATAAAATAAAACTGAAAATATAATCATTTGATATGGATGACAGTGAATCTCATCTAACACTTTCCTGACAGTAAAGTGGTAGAGAAGGAGACTGGCTAACCTGTCTTGATGTTGCTGAGGTTTCCCCTCCAAACTGTTAAGCATCAGAGGCAAAAGTTCCACCTGCTTATTCAGATCCAACCGTGGATATCCCATTTTGATGTAGATGATTGAGAAGTTCTGTAAGGATGAATCTGATTTTAACATTTATCAAGTAATGACAAGAGAATCAATAACATCTACCAGCAAATTCCTAAAATCTGTACCATAATAGCTGTGTCCCACTGTTAGCAAACCAGAGCTTAAAATGAAACCAGACCTTGACACATCCAAATAATTACCTGGATCCAAATTCCACAAGTCATTTCTTATTGCCATCTTGTACAGACTTCCTTTCCCAACATGACTCAAATAACTCAAACACAAAATAAACCAGAGCAAACATTTTGATCATAGGACAAGTACACTTTATTCACAATGATTTCACACCAAGCAAGCAGAAACAGACATGTAAGCCTATCTGGCACTGCTGCCATAAGCAAATACATCTCCCTGAAAAAAAAAAAAAAAATCATAAACACTCTCCTACAAGATTTTCAAATGAATTGTGAAAACAAACACACACGGAATCTATACAGATGTTCACAAATATCACATATCAGATAGACTGCTTTCAAAGAAAGTCATATTGCATTTAACAGGCTATGCTAACAAACAAAACATGTTATGAAGATAAAATCTATTTTACTGTTTGACACCTATAACACACTAGCAACCATAAAAGACAAAGTACAGATGCTTATAAAACTGCAATCTGTTTTTATACAAGATCCATACAACACCCTACATACCACTTCATATCCAATCATATCCCCTTCCCCTTGTCAGACAATATTCTAAAATCAATTGAGTTCCCTGAGACAGTCCAGCCTCATGGATCTTTTAAACTTGCCTTCACTCTCAAAACATGTTCCCTGATCAGATGGATATTGATATAGATCTAAAACTATACCTTACCTACTCTACATACTAACCAGAAAGAGCATTACTAAACTAACTTGCCCAAAAAATGCACTAAAAGCACTGTACAACTATGTCCCCAGTTGTCACAAGGAGCCAAAAAACGTAGTTCCACACCTCATTCATGAACATGTAAAATGTATTTTGGTTTATATGACCTGAAGAGATAATATGGAGTCTCCTCAATGAAAACAATCTATCACCATCACAATGCAGTAGGACAAATAACAAATATATACCTCAGAAAATGCCATACAACAAAAATGCATTTGTAGAGAAAGGGCCAACAGCACTGTAAAGGGAAGGCAAGGAGCCTTGATACCACATGAGTGTCTATGTGGGCTGGGTCTACAAGCCACACACTCAACAGTGTCACCACTCAAGTAAGCTTATTCCCCAGAATTTGGTCCACACACAAACCTTGATGCACCCAGATCCAAATGTTAATGAACCTCCCTAAATGAAAACTGACACCAAAAATCCAAAATCATGGAACATCTAAAACTTGTAAATCACTCAGTTAAACACTTAGATAAGCAACTAGATAAATTATACAAAGCAGTCAAGGTCAATATCAGAAAAGCTTTTAAAAATCACACTAAACAGGAAACAAAGGTATAATTACCGTAACAAATGCTGTAGCACTTGGATCTTGGTACTGGGCAAGCAGAGCCTCAACAGGCAGCTGGATAGACTCATGATCTTTGACCCGTCGATTCACATGGATTAACAATTCCATAACCTTAAGAGAAAAGTGGTATTAATCATATATTCATCGGATTTGTGATTTAAAAGTTGAATATCTTAAAAGATTTTTTATTTACTTTGGATGACATATATCTAAATTTTTGAAGTAACTACCAAAAAGATATATAGATTTATAATAATATATGTAATGAGAATTATAATATTTCATTTAGTGGTTTTAAAACATATATTTCAGAAATTCAATTCTTCAGTGATAACAGTAAGATTGTTTGCTATATCTGGCTATACAGCCTCAAAATTAATAAGGCACATGTCAAATCGACTCCAAACCTTTTTCCGAACAGGTTCATGTGGGGATGCCAGTTTCTGGATAACAGGTGCCAGGAACTTTCGCAATTCTTCCTCGAGGACATCATCAGTTGCTGCTGAGCCAATCCGAAGAAATACTCGCTCCACCAATACTGAAAATATTAACAAGCCATGACCTCTATGTTTTATGCTCCACAAAAGCCAACAATCATCTCCCAAATATATATCTACAAGTAAGTTCTACATAATAAAAAGTGAGCCATTCCTGTATACTCCTATGATCCTGGTCATAATAGTCATGCACTTACTGGCCCAGTTAAGCCATGCCTCTAAGTATTTTTCAGTTTCCAGACATGTGTGTTAACTTCCACCAGTTTGTATGACCCTCTCTTGTACTGTTATAGGAATTCTATGGACAATGGATGATGATCAGTAAAACTATACATAGTCATATGTTCCTTTATTTGTGTGTGTGTGTGGGAGAAACTTAGGATCATTGGCAACCCCCAGTTTCCTGTGACTCTGAGACTCAGTTCCTACTTACTTAGAGTATAGTAGAATGAGAGCTAGTGTGCTGTCAAAATGAAGGTAAGGCAAGGACTGAGACTAGTCTGGGCTGAGGCCATGGCAGATTGACAACTTGTGACTTCTTCACCCAAACCTGGTGATGGTTACTATTTTCAACAGGCCACATGTATTTGTGCTTCCTATACTGAAATGGCAATGCAGATACATTCCAGTATGACTTCAAGAAGTAAGGGTCTCTATATATGCTGTTAGTAGCTTAGCAGTACTGGATGCATGAGGAGATATTTTTGTATACTACCAAGTTCCTTGCTACAAGGACAGCTAGAAGCACGATCATAGAATGGCCTTGAGCTTGCAGGCCAAGCAAACCATACATCTTTCCAGCATCTTCCCACTCCGTGGCATGTTGGGTGTTAATAGTCTAATGGTGGAAATTCAACCTAGCATAACAGAAATTGACAGACAAATCATGGAGGCCTTGTATATACTTAGGTGCTTTGCTACATGGGCTTTACAACTTCATATGAGCTTTCAAAATATATGAGTTCTAGTCCTTCCAAAGGCAAAAAAAAAAGACAAATAATTCTATTATATAGAAATTACCATCTTATATGAAAGTAATTTTTTTCCCCTGCTCCCCCCCCCCCCCTTAATAATAATAATAAAAAAATCTACAGATCTTTCAATAATAAAATAAAATAATAAATACATGAAATTGTACTTAAAGTTTTGAAAATACAATCTTTTC